GCCTTTTTGCCATCCAGCGTGGTTCTGGAGAATCCAACCACCGACCGCAGGGTAGCCGCCATCGACTCCCACGCTTTGGTCGTGTCCTTCCTTTGCATGAACGGTCGTTCGTTGTTGACTTGGGTGAGCAGGATGGTGTCGTCGTCGTCCGTCCACCACTTCTTCTCCTGGATGTCAGGGGCAGGGGCGTCTTGAGTTGGCCCTTGTTCGCTCAAGTCGTCGTCTACGATGTCCATGAGTCCATGCCAGTCCTTCGCTGTCAGATGCAACACTATCCGGAACAACCGTACAATCGTTTTGCCGTCAATTTGCTTGATTTGACGGCATGCCACATGAAGTGTCAGAGTTCCCGCAGAATATATCAATATTGACAGGCAAAATTTGCGGCAACGGCAAGGAAACATGCTCCGAAATCTGTCTAATAGTTCCATCAACGCCAAAACGGAGCGTCCCAGTAACAAAGGTGTTGTGTAACCAACCATTATAATAGGCATTCTGGAGCTCTTCAGCAGTAGGGGATTTGACTCAGTAGTTCTTCCCATCCAAAAAACCACACACACCATGGACAAAGGGCTCTCGATGATTCACAAGCAGTGCCCATCGGCGCTGCAATTGCTTTGATGGGAATCGAATTGAAGCGTTAGGAACGTCCTTCAGCGCATCTGCCAAGGCCTTTTCACCACGATTTAATGTCCGTGCCAATGTTGCTGGTGGCATACCGAAGAGCGCACACAAAGTCTTGCTTTCACATGGGGAGCAATAGAAATGGAGCACAATTGATAACGCTTCATGCAAACGTGTAATCTTGGGGGGTCTCCCACCACGACCGTTGAGGTGACCGAGCTTGTAGTGTTTGGAGAATCGTTCAAGTAGCTCATCGAACGTGTCCGGGTCGAGTGAGACGCTGGCAATAAACGAACTCCGGTTGCGTGCTTCGTACATTCTTGTCCATGGTGTGCTTGTTGTGTCTTGCAGGCTTGGTGACGTCAAGTAGTTGCGCTCCTTTAGCGTCATACGTAATCGTAACAGCAGGAGAGTGTCCAAGTCTTCCGGTTCGCTATCCTAGTCATAGTCATGGAGGAGGAGGAGCCTCCACCACTTCATTGTTGTCGACGTCGAGTGCTCACAATGATGAATATGTATACTATAGAAACTGAAGTCAAATTTGAGTTGAACACCACCCCATTTTTGCTGAGGCGCTTTTATCGCCCAAGCAAAAAAGCGCCGGAAATTTGATTAAAAATTCCGGATGACTTCTGGTTTTGGAAGTCCTCCAGTGGGTTGTGAGATGATTCGTTGCCTAGGATGAGGAGGACAAACCTTTCCTCACTTGCCATCCGTGAGTTGAAGTTACTTAGCCACTCTGAAAACAAGGCCATGGTCATCCAGGCCTTGCGGTTAGAGTGGTACAGTAACCCCACTTCTCGGCTAGTCAAGCCAGCCTCCGAAACAACGCGGCTTCTTGGTGTTCGGGGTATTTTGGTCGCTGAAAGTTAAACCGGCATTTCGCTGACTCCTCATTTATGATGTAGGACTCGATGGACCGCTCATCCTTCATGATGCGACGAATGGTCGTGACGTGGACGGATTGGCCAAATTGCTGAGTCGCCCAGCGCTGGACTTGTGTGGCCTTGATAGGCATATGAGCCATACATGTATAAAACTCTCTAATCGAGTTCTTGTCGTGAATTGTCAATCTCTTGCTTTTGCTTCGCTTACCCCC